ATGAGTTAAGTTGCTTCAGGAGTTCTTGGCAAGGTATGGAGAGGGCAGTGAAACCATAAATACTTGATTCCTGATCAGAAAAGTATCTAGAGCTTTTATAAAAGTAAACAAAAGTGCCTTTGACTTAACAAGATCACAGGTTAAGCTAAATGTACTATACATGGTTTTTACACAATTTGTTGATGCTTCCATCAGTAAAGAAAAAGGGAAAGCCTTCTTATACGGGTTTTTATTAGGGTAATAGAAAGCTAGATAATATAGAATAATCATTTTAAGATAGCCCTAAATACAAATGTGATGCCAAAGTTTGGCATGTGAGGTTTTAACACAATAGCATCTAATTAACCACTATTATTTTAATGGAAAAATTGGGTTCATTATTGTCTAATTTGTATAAATTAAAAGTTTTAGGAGTATCAGATACTGTAAAACTGACAGCTAACTCAGGATAATAAAATTTTTGTAATCAAAATTACAAGGAGACAGAATTATAATTTAATTAACACAACAACGAATGGTAATCAATAAGTGCATGTTATCAAACCAAAAAATGTGGTTTCATTCTGCTTCTAGGATACTCCCCAACAACTGCAACAACTGGTTATAGTTAAGATATATCACAGTTGTGGTTATATGAATCTAAACTTATAATTTCAACATTTAAAATAGTTTCTTAATATACATTCACAATATGTAATGTATCATTAAAAACATTACATTTACATACCATGTTAAATTTGGTTAATAAATGTCTAATTTTCAGTATGGTGCTTTGAAATATACATACATATAATATGTACCCAAATACATTCTAAATGTCCCATTTACAAAGAATAATTGCCTTTGTATCCTAGGAAAATTGCATGAGAGTACTGTTACAGTGTACTCTGCAGGTCTGCAACCCCATTACATTTTATAGGCGTGTAAATGGGCTATTAATACTTTTATGATTTTGTATTATAACTATGAGCTATTATATCAATTATAATGACTGATACCTGGGAAGTATACTATATTTGCCCTCATTTTCATAAGGATAGACTTCTTGGACCCTTGATGAATGTTTTCAAATGTGGTTTAGGCTTCATGAAAACTGGCACAAGGGATTCAATGACTTTGCCCTCTGCCTACCATCACTCTATTGCTTTCTACTATTGTACATATATGCACCAGCCATACACAGAGCACATACATAAACACACAAATATTTCAAAATGAGAAAATGTCTAACAATACTGCATAGGACACTGACGTGGTAATACAATCAGCATCTGTACCCAGATGCTACTATTATCAGAACATCAGTTATTCTCATGACATAGGAGTTTGTCTCTTCTCCCTCAGTCTCCTTCATAGAACAGTTAAGTTTCTTTTAAAGAAAGGGAAAAATTGATGCTTAGAAACATGGTGTTTTTAATCTGATCTTGCCTTCTGGCTTACCCTAGAGATTGTGTATTTGTGTGTGCATGTATGTGTAAAAATCACATTATATACAATACAATTTTTACAGAAAGCCTGGCAGCTACAAATAAGAGGTAGAACTACTCAAAACTATGTTTCCTGCTGCAGGAAAAAATTCATTTTCTTTACAGTAATTTAAAAAAAGTTTTAAAAATTGACAAAAAATAAGTTGCAGGTTAGGCCCCATAATTTAAACAACAAAATCTAGGAAGAAAAATATTCTTCAATGTACTCAACAGATAAGTTCATTAAAGGGTTAAAAAAAGTTGCATAGGAAAAAAGGGACATTCCAGCACTTGCTACAATGATGGCAATGGTTTCTGTATAGGGAGTAAAGTACCTTCAGTTTTTCTTCTTTTGATAACTCTAAGATTAGGGTTTACAAGCAAGAGCAAGTTTGAATAGCAGCACTTTTTCCAGTCCCAGATAGCTCTATAAGAAAGAAGGGACTCTGTCTGGAGGTCAAGGTTTGTTCTACCAGACAAAGACAAGCCAGTAAGCACAGCTCCAAAGCTAAAGTTATAAGTTCCTTCAATATTTTAATAAAATGTGTTATAAAATCCTTAATACTTTTATCCTCTGCTTAATAGAGGCAAAGGACAGGGTCTGTGCATGTCTGTGTCTTGAGTGACAGAAGAATTTGGTTATCAGAGGATATATCTGAACGTTTAAGAACAAAAGGGGGATTCCTCAGATGCTGATTTTAAGGAACGGTGCACTATTACCTTGATCATATCTATGCAAGAGAGAAGCAGAGAGAGCACTGTATTATTTGGCCAGTGACCAAAAACTGAGACAAAACAAAAGTTAAAAAATAAACAGCCAAACAAAAACGAAGGACATGAACAACAAAATGTCAGTTTTAAGAAAGACAAATAGGTTACAACGTAGTTTCTGTTCCCTTGCTCCTCCAGAAATAATCACTGTCTTCAGGCTCAAGTTCTATTCTAATTTGAGGCACAACTTTTACTGGAGTTCTAGGAGGACTAGAGAAAATTAAAAAAAAGTAGTAAGTAAATCAGATTTCCTTCATCATCTGTCAAATGTACATGCATTGTATAGAAGTAAATGTGTCCTTCTTTGTTCTCTTTTAAAATTTATATCCTCTTTGTGTATTAAAAACAAACTTTTTAAATGGGATGAAGGTATCAGCAGAGTAAAAAATTTCAAGTAAAAGATTTCATCACATCTCATACCTAGATTAAAACAATAAAAACAAACACAAAAGGAAAAGAAGCACTACCAGGTGAGTAATGCTGTCAGGAATTAAAGGACAAAAAGACCAACATAATAAAAACATTCAGAGATTTCAGAAAATCAATTAGAACCTGAAATCTCTAGAACTTTGTTAAGAGGGAAAGAAACCACTGAAGAAGAGCTATCAGAAAGTACCAGTTACCAGCCAGGCACGGGGGCTCATGCCAGTAATCCCAGCACTTTGGGAGACCAAGGTGGGTGGATCACCTGAGGTTGAGAGTTTGAGACCAATGTGGAGAAACTTCATCTCTACTAAAAATACAAAAATTGGCTGGGCATGGTGGTGCATGCCTATAATCCCAGTTGAGGATTATAGGAGGCTGAGGCAGGAGAATTGTTTGAACCAGGAAGGTGATGGTTGTGGTGAGCCAGGATCATGCCATTACACTCCAGCCTTGGCAACAAGAGTGAGACTCTGTCTCAAAAAAAAAAAAAGTGCCAGTTATCCCTTCAAAGCAGGGATGAAACTGAAATTATAAGAGCTAATGTTGATCCTGGGCTGTGACTTAATGAAAGATTCTATTATTTTTAAGAGTAATAGGTCTTTTAGAATGCTTTTTACTAGTAAAAGCTGGAACAAGTTTTGATCACTGGGTAATTTATTTAAGATAAATCATAGAGAGGAAGGAGGACAAGAAGTTCTGTCAATAACCCACCATTAACTACACTTCTGTGGGGCAATTATCCCACAGAACAACGTAAAATACTGGGCTCTCCTTTACCTTGGCAAACCGAGTGACTGAAGGAAAGAAATTTTATCAGCATGATGTGTGGCGTTCAAGGAATGTTGCTGATCTTTCTCCTAAAAAATAAAATTTTTTGAAAACATAAATAGTAAGTCTTTGGCAAAGTATAAAATAAAAATCTTCACAAAAGGATGCATCTTCCATAACTAGAAAGAGTAAAAAAGTCAAGTTTAGACACTTCAGTAAACAATGTATTAAGCTAAGACTCTAGTGTGATGCAGACAAAATCACTTAGTTTTCTTTATTTTAGGTTTTCTGGGATGGGTCACTATTGTCTTGTCAGTGAGAAGGATAAGCAGCAAATCATTTTTAAAGGGTGGTAGCATTCTCTTAATGTCTAAGGCTTGCTCTTAGATTTCCTTCTGTCTTCAGAATTCCTAAGTTGGCCCTGCTGTTATTTACAGGGAAAAAAAAGATTTTTTTTTTGAGTTATTTACTTATACCACAACACTATTTCTATCAGTTTTGTTCTTTCATGGATGATAAAGATCAATATGACATTAGGAAACATTTCAGGCAAAATGCTCATGTGTATTTCATTTAAGTAAATTTCTAATATCAACTTGCAATTTTTCCCTTAAAAGGGGTTTGAGAGGGTAAAGGGCAACTGGCACATAAACTTTGTCCATGAGTCTCAAATTCTGGCTAGTGATTTTTTTAATAGCTTTTACATTTATTGATGTGGGGCTATTCCAGGTTATAATGCCAACAGAAAACATACATGCTAGGCACATGTATGTTACTGTCTGCTTTTGCTGTTAATGTTTCATTGATAAAAAATGAAGTCAGAACATGGTTTGAGGAGCTTAAATTCAAAAAGAAATCTGTAACAAAACCCCATTAATAGGAGTTAACAGAAATTAGCCTCAGTTACAAGTTATAGATTACAGATTGGACACCAAAGGTAAGACTGCTTTTAGTCCTTTGTTCTTGAATTCCAGGCTGGTAGCCAGCCTCCAAGATGGGTCTCAGAGATCCCTGTCTCCTGGTATTTACGACTTTGTGTAATTCTTTCCCACAGTGTTAAGAGTGTGGGTCTGCACTACCTTCAGAATATGACAGAAGTAATGGTCTGTTACTTCTGAGATTCAGTTATAAAAGATTGTAGCTTCTGTCTTGGTTTCTTTCTCTTTTATGACTGGCTTTGAGAGAAGCCATATCATGGGCAGCCCTATGGAGATATCCACAGGTAAAGAAACAAATGTCATGCCATGGCCCTCATGAGTGTGCTTTTGGAAGCAGATCTCCAGCTCCAACCAACTCTTCAGAGACTAAAATATTTAATGGGAACCTCAGGGGGTGGATACTATGCCGTCAAAAATGTTTATTATAGAGATTTGCAGAAGAAGAAACAAAACCTGGTCTGTTCAGAATTCATGTGTTTCCTTAAATTCTTGGCATAAATGACTTTACTTTGGTTTGATTTGGTTTGGTCTCTTGGGGCCTAGTGCATGAGCTTAGTTCAGAACAATGGCATCCCAGAATATTGTTTAAAAAAATTCCCCCTTTTAACCAAGTTCATTTCTTCTTGTCTAGAGACCATCAAGCTTCAGATGATCATGGAACAAAGGTTCCAGCCAGCCAGTTACAGGTGAAGATACCACCCCTGTTCATCAAGGAGCTACCCTGCCTCCACTAGATAAAGCATGAAGAAAGTTCAGTGATCCCCAATAGGTAGGTACTATCTACCACACCAGCATGAAGCAGTTCCAGGAAAAAAAAAAAAACCACTGGTCCCTCTGATTTCCATGAATCTTTAGGGAGATCACATCTCTCAGTGAGGAGATGAGGCAGGAAAAAGGTCTGGAGGCAGGGAACATAAGAAAATATGTTTGCTGTTTTAAACTGCTAAGTTTTACAGCAATTTGTTACTCAATGATTGGTAACTAATATACCTTTTTTTATCAATAGATATTCATTCCAAACTTTTCTTGATAACAGTAATTTCTTATTGAAGTCGAGGTGGCATGATAAAATAGAAATAAAAGTGTCTTAACTGTCTTTTTCTGTAACAGATCAGTGTACTTTGAAGTGCATCTGAATCTAAAAGGATACATTTTCTTCAATGAGAATGAAAAGTGAAAGATAGCTTGATAGCAACTGCTACTTGCTATTAGAGAGTCTGAAACAGTCACTAACATTACTCTAGAGGTTTACCCCATTTCTAAGAGACCTATTAATTCAATTACAGGAGGAAAATGTCACAAATCATTGCACTGTAGCCACCAGGCTATTACCCTAGAAAGACCAGTGCAGTTATAATGATAATTTTGAAATAGCAAAAGAGGAGATGAAGAAATTAGAAAGCAAATGCATATAAGTTATATCTAGAAAGTTGTACTAATACTCCGATTTCTAATTTAATCAAAATAATTTTTCCAAATTATCAATATTAACAATTTATTGATCAATTTCTCTTTTGAGCTGATTTGATCATTGGTTAAAACCTAAGGAAGACAAACAGTTGACAGTGATGTAGCTGCAATTCTAAATACCAGCAGGAAAAAAAAAGAAAAATCAATTAAAACATGGTTATTAATTTAGCAATTGGAAAAACTGGGGATGATTTGGGAAAGAGAAAAGACTACCAAATAAAAATTTTAAAGGTTATGGATAAAAGGAAGAAGTTAAGAGTGAAGCTTAGGGTATAGGGTATGTAAAAATAAAGTTTTATTATATTAAGTGTAAATCTTCTCACAGAAAAAATGAGAAACAAATTGAGGGAAAGTTAATGCAGATGGCAATTCTAAAGTGTTTTCTCTGTAAGTGCAAATCATATTCAAGCAAGCAAGCAAGAGGTTAGTTCTACTCACTGTCGGAAGGTTTGCTATCACTTAGGAAAGGTTGCTGTTCCATGATGTCCATTGGAATTTTAATACTTGGAACTTTTTCTGAGTATGGGCAGTCAGACTGTGAAAAAAATGTACAACACGTTTTAGAATATTTTTATTATACAACCCTTCCTATCTCCCAGTATCGAACAAACCTTTCATATAATCACTTACTTAATACTAAGGAGAAAAGCCCTGTAATTACTTCCAGTTTGCTAGCTTTTAACTGCATGGCTTCTTTCTCCCTCATGTTTGTTTTCCACTCTTCTGAGTTAATGGTATTGAGTCAATTAAAACTAGAACTATGCCAAATAGAGATCACTACAACTGAATTGTAAAGCTTTCTATAAGTTAGACTCCCAATCAGCAAATGTTTATGAGTTGTATGTGTGAAGCAAATTATCTCAATGCAAAAACAGATTCAAGTTAGGAAACTTCCTAAATTATAAATGGTCTTGAAACTCTTATTTTGTTTCTGCTGATTCTGTCTCTAGAAAAATCATGACCCATCTTTCCTCTAGAACAAGTGACAGACTTTTAAAATATCCACGATCCAGGAGCCTTCTATGTACACTAGAAAATAAACTTTCCTCACTTACTCTAAGTACTATTTTATGGGTAAAGGTTCATTTTGATTTGTTTGTGCCAAAGATACCTGAAAATGTAAGCAAACATAAGAAAATAAAATATTTAAAAAGGTGTCTATGATGGTTAGATAAGCAGAAGATCATAACCAGAATAAAATGACAAAACCAGGCAGGTAATCATAGGACTGCTTAAAGAACAGGCCACCTACCCCAAGCTATAATAGATTTCCCAAAGATTACCAACTTTGCTTTGTTAAATTGCATTATATTGATTCTAAGTCTATGTTTGGACTCAAAGACCAATACATCTCTTAACTTAAAGTAACAAAAAGATGATCATCTTTAGCTGAAAAAAAAAAATGAGACGTAATGCTTAAAAAAATCTTAACATAAAGCTTATTACCCACATGGAAAATTTACTTATGACGCCTCTAAAGAAGTTAATGAACTAGAATATCCTTTAAGAGAACTAATATAATGCACTCAAACTGGCAAAACAGAATAAAAAAGATGTCACACATAACAATATTAACCTTAAATGTAAATGGACTCAATGCTCCAATTAAAAGACACAGCCTGGCAAACTGGATAGAGTCAAGACCCATCAGTGTGTATATTTGGGTGACCCATCTCACGTGCAAAGACACACATAGGCTCAAAACAAAGGGATGTAGGAAGATTTACCAAGCAAATGGAAAGAAAAAAAAAAAGAGTGGGAGTTGCAATCCTAGTCTCTGATAAAACAGATTTTAACCAACAAAGATAAAAAAAGAAAGGACGGCATTACATAATGGTAAAGGGATCAATGCAACAAGAAGAGCTAATTATCCTAAATATATATGTACTAATACAGAAGCATCCAGATTCTTAGAGCAAGTTCTTAGAGACCTACAAAGAGACTTTTACTCCCACAATAATAGTGGGAGAATTTAACACCCCACTGTCAATATTAGACCTAATGAGACAGAAAATTAATGAGGACATTCAGGACTTGAACTCAGCTCTGGACCAAGCTGACTTAACAGACAGCTACAGAACTCTCCACCACAAATCAACAAAATATACATTCTTCTCAGCACCACATCACACTTATTTTAAAATTGCCCACAGAAGTGGGAGTAAAACACTCCTCAGCAAATGCAAAAAAAAAAAAAAAAAAAAAAAAAAAAAAAAGAAATCATAACAGTCTCTCAGACCACAGTGCAATCAAATTAGAACTCAGGATTAAGAAACTCACTCAAAATCCCACAACTACATGGAATCTGAACAACCTGCTCCTGAATGACTACTTGGTAAATAGTGAAATGAAGGTAGAAATAAAGATATTTTTTGAAACCAATGAAAACGAACACACAATGTACTCAGAATCTCTGGGATGAAAAAAAAATGTAGGAAATATCTAAAATTGACACCCTGACATCACAACTAAAAGAAACAGAATTAAAAGAACTAGAGAAGCAAAAGCAAGTAAATTCAAAAGCTGACAAAAGACATGAAGTAACTAAGATCAGAGCAGAACTAGGGAGATAGAGAGAGACATGAAAACCCCTTCAAAACATCAATGAACCCAGGAGCTGGTGTTTTGAAAAAATTAACCAAATGTATGTACCACCAACTAGCCAGAGGAATAAAGAAGAAAAGAGAGAAGAATCAAATAGACACAATAAAAAATGATAAAGGGGATATCATCATTGACCCCACAGAAATACAAACCACCAGCAGAGAATACTATAAACACCACTATGCAAATAAACTAGAAAATCTAGAAGACATGGATAAATTCCTGGACACATACACCCTCCCAAGACTAAACCAGGGAGAAGTTGAATCCGTGAATAGACCAATAACAAGTTCTAAAATTGAGGCAGCAGTTAACAGCCTACCAACCAAAAAAAGCCCAGAACCAGATGGATTCACAGAGGAATTCTACCAGAGGTGCAAACATGAGCTAGTACTATTCCTTCTAAAACTATTCCAATAAACAGAAAAAGAGGGAATCTTCCCTAATTCATAAAAAAAGAAAATTTCAGGCCAATATCCCTGATGAACATCAATGCGAAAATCCTCAATAAAATACTGGCAACAGAATCCACCAGCACATCAAAAAGCTTACCCACCACAATCAAGTCAGCTTCGTCCCTGGGATGCAAGGCTGGTTCACTATATGCAAATCAATAAATGTAATCCATCATATAAACAGAAACAATGACCAAAAAAAACATAAATATCTCAACAGATGCAGAAAAGGCATTCGATAAAATTCAACACCCCTTCATGCTAAAAACTCTCAATAAGCCTGGCATTGATGGAACATATATGAAAATAATAAGAGCTATTTATGACAAACCCACAGCCAATATCATACTGAGTGGGCAAAAGCTGAAAGCATTCTCTTTGAAAACCATTACAAGACAAGAATGCCCTCTCTCACCAGTCCTATTCAACATAGTATTGAAAGTTCTGGCCAGAGCAGTCAGGCAAAAGAAAAGATAAAGGGTATTTACATAGGAAGAGGGAAGTCAAATTGTCTCTCTTTGCAGATGACATGATTGTATATTTAGAAAACCCCATTGTCTCAGCCCAAAATCTTCTTAAGCTGATAGGAACTTCAGCAAAGTCTCAAGATACAAAAACCAAAGTGCAAAAATCACAAGCATTCCTACACACCAATAACAGACAAACAGAGAGCCAAATCATGAGTGAACTCCCATTCACAACTGCTACAAAGAGAATAAAATATCAAGAAATACAACTTCCAAAGGATGTGAAGGACCTCTTCAAGAAGAACTACAAACCACTGCTCAAGGAAATAAGAGAGGACACAAACAAATGAAAAAACATTCCACACCCATAGATAGGAAGAATCAATATCATCAAAATGGCCATACTGCCCAAAGTAATTTATAGATTCAGTGCTATCCCCATCAAGCCACCATTAACTTTCTTCACAGAATTAGAAAAAAACTACTTTAAATTTCATGTGGAACCAAAAAAAATGCCCATATAACCAAGACAATCATAAGCAAAAAGAACGAAGCTGGAAGCATCACGCTACCTGACTTCAAACTATACTACTAGGTTACAGTAACCAAAACAACATAGTACTGGTCCCAAAAGAGATACATATATAGACCAACAGAACAGAACAGAGACCTCAGGAATAACGCCACACATCTATAACCATCTGATCTTTGACAAATCTGACAAAAACAAGCAATGGGAAAGGATTCCCTATTTAATAAATGGTGTTGGGAAAACTGACTAGCCATATGCAGAAAAATGAAACTGGATCCCTTCTTTACACTTTATACAAAAATTAATAGAGATTAAAAATTTAAACATAAGACCTACAACCATAAACAACCTAGAAGAAAACCTAGGCAATACCATTCAGGACGTAGGCACAGGCAAAGACTTCATGACTAAAACACCAAAAGCAAAGGCAACAAAAGCCAAAATTGACAAATGGGATCTAATTAAACTAAAGAGCTTTTGAACAGCAAAAGAAACTTATCATCAGAGTGAACAGGCAACCTACAGAATGGGAGAAAACTTTTGCCATCTATTCATCAAAGGGCTAATATCCAAAATCTACAAGGAACTTAAACGCATTTACAAGAAAAATAACCCCATCAAAAAGTGAGCAAAGGATATGAACAGACACTTCTCAAAAGAAGACATTTGTGCGGCCAACAAACCTATGAAAAAAGCTCATCATCACTGGTCATTATAGAAAGACAAATCAAAACCACAATGAGATACCATCTCATGACAGTTAGAATGGTGATCATTAAGAAGTCAGGAAACAACAGATGCTGGAGTGGATGTGAGAAATAGGAACACTTTTACACTGTTTCTGGGAGTGTAAATTAGTTCAACCATTGTGGAAAACAGTGTGGCGATTCCTCAAGGACCTAGAAATAGAAATTCCATTTGACTCAGCAACCCCATTACTGGGTATATACCCAAAGGATTAGAAATCATTCTATTATAAAGGCACACATACATATGTTTATTGGAGCACTATTCACAATAGCAAAGACTTGGAACCAATCCAAATGCCCATCAATGATAGACTGGATCAATAGCAAAGACTTGGTATCAACCCAAATGCCCATCAATGATAGATTGGATAAAGAAAATGTGGCACATATATACCATGGAATACTATGCAGCCATAAAAATGATGAGTTCATGTCCTTTTCTGGGACATGAATGAAGCTGGAAACTATTATTCTCAGCAAACTAACATAGGAACAGAAAACCAAACACTGCATGTTCTCACTCATAGGTGGGAGTTGAACAATGAGAACACATCAACACAGGGAGGGGAACATCACTCACTGGGGCCTGTTGGGGGCTAGGGGAGGGATAGCATCAGGAGAAATACCTAATGTAGACGACAGGTTGATGAGTGCAGCAAACCACCATGGTAAGTGTATTTCTATGTAACAACCCTGCACGTTCTGCACATGTATCCCAGAACTTAAAGTATAGTAATAATAAAAAGATGCCACATGCACGTACCTTTATGAGAATGTCAAAAACAGTAAGACATTATACTCTTTTAAATATTTTCCAAAATAATAGCAATTATACATGGACAGGTTGCAGCCCACCCTTAATCACAGCCTACCAAGCAGACTAAAAAATGACTGAGTGGCTCAAAATGTTGGCAAGCCATAATTTTCACTATATGTGCTCATAAATATTACATTATAGCTGTTACCCGCATGTCCCCTTGTGACTTCTTGTATCCATAGATCCCAAACCATGTGACTAAGAGGCAAACTTAGGAGGGCCACATTCCAAATGTGGAGCCCTAAATAATTAGCTCAACCCAAAGAACACACTGCACAGATGTACTCTAAATTGCCTGGCTGGATTCAGTGCCCAGGAACAAATGTATATGTTTGTTTGTTTTGGTAGAGGTAGGATGAAAAAGAAGAGGAAAAATATCAACTATGACACTTTGGCTTCAAGAAATCTGTTGGAAACAGTTGAAAATGGTAAATATTCATATGAAAAACTATTTAAATGGAACAGGATTTGTTGGAAATCATATTTAAGAATTGGAAGAACTTCTAAGGAGTTCATTTGATCCAACTTTTGTCACTCGAGAGCAGTATATTTAAAACATTCTCCAAAGTTGGGATTTTACTATTTTTTCTTAAAAATCATTAGAGGGGTATTCCATAATCTCCCTCTTTGTACATTCATACATTCATAATATATAATGAACTTTATATTTGAGGTCCATGTACATAAGTTGACATACTTATTTTGGACAAAATATTTGCTTTAATTATTTTAATATTTCAGGCAACCTTTTTTTTTTGTATTGATTGGTCCAGAAATTCATTTCAAATTTTAATTTGTATTAAATGTGTAAATGCATCATTCTTCTATTACATCTTAATCTCTGCTGCAATTAAAATGCATTCTTTTTCTGTCATCATTGGAAACAAAAATCTATATACCTGTTCTCATTGCAGATGGATGACAGTCATAAAGCTCTCTTCACCTCTTTTTCTCTTTAGCTAAATGTGCCTCATGCATTAAGTCTTTTGCTTATTGAATCAATTTATGTGAAATCCAATTACGTCTCTTGCCTTCTTTCACTGTACTATTTCCAAGTTCTACAAAAAGAATACAGTCAGACAGCCTGATCAGTTGGAACTAACCAGAGAGGCCTGGATTCGAGTTCTAGCTTTGCCACTATGGCTGCATACAATTAGACAAATGACTTAAATATATATGTCAAAGCATCACCTTACATATATACAATATTATGTCAATCATACTTCGTTAAAACTTTAAAAAAATTTTAAATATTTAACATTTCTCAGTCTAAATTTCCTCGTCTGTAAAAATGGGGGCAAAAAATAAATACTGTGATAACAAGCTATTAAGACAATTAAGGATAAGGTATGCAATGATCAAAGTTATCAAGTACTAAGTAGAAACTAAAAATTAACAATATTCCTACTTTAGAATGGGTAATGATGCACAAAAAAATCATTTGTGAGACTGCACTGTGTAAAACTCAGAACAGATTTTCAAATGGAAAACATTATTTTGGCAATCTTTTCAAAAGGCTACTGTAATAAGGTGTTACTACACGTGTTAAAGAAAACAAATCCCAGCTTTTCTTCTAGCACAGATTACAGATCCCTA